CACATACACACTACACACAATAAAAAACATAGGAAATAGCAAGAGTGATTACAATAGTTCCTATTGCATTACATGCATAGGAACTAATAAAATGACCTACTCTAATGACATTAAAATTATACAGTGCACCCTCATACGAGACCACTTTGTGAACCAAATAACAATCTTCCGTCTTTTACACAAAGCTAACCCTTTAATTGAAGAAAGAACCTCCCACCACAAATTATTATCAGGTTCTAAAAGTGGTCTCGAATTGGAGAGCAAACTGTAGATGTGCATGTTAAAAGACTGCGAAAGCAGTCAAAACATCTAATAAAATATCCTGATTCCCACATTGCATTCACTAACTGAACTTGTCACAGTATGTTTATTAAAATTGCAAGATAAAAATGTGTTGCACCATAGTCCAGCTATAGTTGCACTCTGGACACCCTAGGCCTACTCATCCACTTGATGCACAACCATCTTCATCATCTTCAAAGCCATATCAGGCGCATCGGCTGGAACCTAGAGAAGAATATCAAAATGAGTTAAGAAAAAGAATACGGGGCGGGGCGAGCCAGTCCGTGCATTATTTTTTTTAATGGATAAAAGAGGATAATTATAATCAAATTTAGGTCTGAGAGTGTGATAATCAAGTTTTCTGGTGGGGCTGAGGTGGTCCAGACTGAATGCCTCTCCGGGCACCTCTCCATTTCGTATTCCTGGCTTTGCCACTGAGTGGTGGTCTAAAAGCAAAATTCTTTACCATAAAATCCCTCCCATTAAACTCCACCAGTCATATTAAACCAGGACCTTGACTTGAGGCCCTAGGTGATGCGTTGGTTAAAACCCTTGCTTGACTTCTACCCCTATCAAGCATCAACTGACTGCAGCATGGACACGCGCACAATGGTACCTACCATATGCCCAGCATTCATAATCCAGTAAAAACTGAAGTTCTTGTACGTTTTGACAAATGCCTTTGTTTGACTGCCTACTGTGTACAATGGTTTCCACTTCAAAGCATCAAAACTGGACAAGCCAGGCCAAGTCAGTTTCTCCAACCAAAGTTCAGTACCTGTACAAGACAATATTAGAAATCAGATGATGCTGGTAGTCCTACACAGACACAAAATTATCTCTAACGGATGAGCAAGTGAAGGTCACAGGAGCACCGCAGAGTACTTAATTTTGTAGAGATCAGTATAAAGCTTTGTCGAGATTATCAAATTTTCTGATGTGCACATATATATTCATCCTATTTTTGTGGTCATGATGGGATGTCAGGACAACCATATTTAGGCATGTCACATGATTCTTTTGTCAAATAAAATTTTGATTTTCTGGACAGGGATTAAGACTTTGCAACTAACTCACAGTGTTTGCCAACTGAGAAGGAGATGTAGGACTATAGTGTATTAACGTAATGCAGGTGATGAACTTTAAAATATAGGTTATAAAGTTTACATACAAATGCAAATGATGCACTTAACATACATGTGTTATAATAGTTATTGGTAGCTTCCTAAATCTAAGTTTGAACAGTACATTTACCTGGGGTATCACAAATAAGGTCAAGCTGTCCATTGTACACTACGACCTTCAGAGTTGTGTTCATAAGAAGGTCATCAACTAATTATTCAAAAGCAAATAAAAGTTGTTAGTTCACAAATTACTACAGTGGCTTGGCAGTGTACTAATAACATCATATCGAACATTAAAACATAGTAGTACAATTCAGGGGCGGATCTAGAGATGTCCAAATTAAGAGCCAACACTACCCTAGGGGTTCTGCAAATTTGTTTGTTTTCTAGATGTCCGGAATTAAACTTTGAGGCATTTTAGGCGATCAATAATTCCTTTTTTTTTTCTTTTACGTCACAAACGGGGTGAGGTGGGCCGGAGCCGCTTCGAACCGCTTGGTAGGTTGGGGGGGGGGTTTCAGTCCCTCTACTGGATCCACCCCTGCGGGATACATGACCTTTATTCTCCTATTCCCCTTCATTTAAACTAAAAGGACATCTTCAACTTACCTATATCTATGACAGGTTTCATGAAATCACCATACTGCTTTATAAACACTGTACCTGACTGAGCTGAATAAAAATTTCTACAAACGTTTATGATAATACAGATATTATTTATATGAACTTCATAAATTTCCTATTTCGAATATTTAAAATTGAACAAAAAAGAAAAATTTAATCTTTTTTTAACTAAAATTAAATTGAATGAAGACATTGGTTATGAAAAATATTTAGTATTTAATTAAAACAACTACAAAATTAGCATTCTTAGAATTGTATACACTAGTTTTAATTCACACCTCATTTTTATTATTAAATTTATTTGGATTGTTAATAATTTGCTTCTATTTCGCATTTAAATTACTTTGTGTTGCACTTCTGTAAACATTGTCGACATGATTGTATTATTCAATGGCACATTTTCATTTCTGCTGCTTGTGCACATTTTAAAGCATTCTACCAATACACAAAGACTTACCACCCCATGTGACATTGTCAGGGATACCTAGCTTCTTTTTGATTGGTCCATTCATGAGTTCAGTGAGTGGATCAGCTTCATATGGAGCGACATGCTTCAGATACAACCTACCTATAAAAAATACAGATTATGCAAATGATAATGACCTTTAAGAAAGTATAATACATACTCCAAGTATTGAAATACACGCCATCGTGTTGGGATTCAATATTTCGACATTAATTATGTCATCATCAGGAATTGGGATTCAATATTTCGACATTAATTATGTCATCATCAGGAATCATTCCTGATGATGACATAATTAATGTCGAAATATTGAATCCCAACACGATGGCGTGTATTTCAATACTTGGAGTATGTATTATACTTTCTTATCTGAGATTAATCAGTGGACCTTTCGGTTTTTTATAATGACCTTTAGTTCTTTAATCTCAGAGGTCAATTGTACAATGGGTTTTGTCAGCAGATTAGTTATTATGAACAGCTCTCTTCACTGTTTACATACAGTTAGTCCTGCATTTCTTATTGTGGACTGTTATATGGAACTTACTCAATTCTGGAGCCATAAAGTATGTCTTCTTGATTGACATCTTATTACTTCCATCAGTGTTATGCAGTAGGATGTTGTAAAAATCTACATTATCTGTGTTCTTCAAAAAAAAAAAAATAATAATAATAATAAACAGGTTAGCTATACTGGTGTAAAAAGAGAGAATGGTTGTTATTGTGTTAATTACAATGCTTTATAGATTCATGGTTCTTCCTACCTCAGCAATCACATTTTCTGTCATGCTCCACAGTTGAGTCGCTTTGGTGTAGTTACCAGCATTGTAGGCCATTTCAGTTTCATTAGCCGCCTGCTGTACCAATGCAAGCCCTCGCTTGTCCAGCAGTGACTGGAAAACACAATAAAAACAGATCCAGATATTTTATAATTAAGTAATAACAAATGTAAAAACACGAAAATAGAATATTCTGGGGGAAAAAAAAGATTAACATGGGATGCCAAATAGATTTATACTCACTGTTTGGTAAAGGTACGGACCCCAAGTATTTACATAATCTGCAAAAAATTATTAATAATTTATTAAAATAAAAAAATCATAATTTTATATAGTTGAATTTGATATAGCAGAGCATTCAATACAAGTAGACAAACAATCCACTAACAACTCCACCGACAAGGCTATGTATTCAACACTGTCGTCTGTCCATTAGCAGGTTAGTTAGAAACATTTTCCGTTGTAAAAACCATTCTGATTTTTGTCTTGCCTCAGGGCTTTCTCTTCCTCCTCTCTTCTTTTGCATTTCTTACTTTTATGTTATTAAAATTATCATTTTCTATTTTATGCATGCGAAAAGGAAGTGAATAAATGTTACATTGAATTTAATTTAAGTAGACAAACAATCAAATAAAAACCCTGCTGAAGTGGTTATATATTCACCACTTTCTGTCTGTCTGTCAGCAGGATTGTACAAAAACTAATGATTGAATCACCATCGATGAACAAAGAATGGTCATTATACCTATTGGTGATATCCACGAATCCCCTAAAGCTAGTCCTCGAAAATCAATAGAAAGTCTTCCACCATCAATCTCCTATGAAAGAAAAAGATTTCAAATTTTATTAAATGTGACTTAAAGTTGGGCTCTCGCTGGGACCGGCAGTCGACGGATGATGCGATTCTGTGGAGAACGCAACATGATGATGAAATTGGTTGAAAGGTAAAGGTTTGTGCTCAAGACACCCATTTAAACCAAGTTAACAGTATAAGGGACAACGTAGCAAATGGTACACTTTTGTTTTTTAAATAATTTTATGTATAATATAATCTTTGTTGTACTTGGAATAAGTAGATAAAAACTATAATTTTGTGTCTTTGATAGTGTTCTTCATAAACAAATATGGAAATTCACATGGTGGATCTAATGTAGTTATAGTCTATACTTGGCTAACAAGTACAGACTCATACATACATATATGTGGTAACTTCACTTTTGGGTTTTATTGTATCAAAACAAGACTTACTTTCTGAAGGGCCTGACTGAGTGCAGCTGTCATTTTGCCTCCATATGATTCGCAGAAAATATAAAATGGAATCGTCTGCAAGGAGTGAAAACGTCTGTTAATTCAAAATCAATTAATACAACTTCACATAACGAATCTAGTTTAACTTGTAAAATGTATATGAAACAAGTTGAAGTGGTTTGGCGCAGCAGGAATGGTTTGGTTTCCCAACCTCGTGGTCTGGGTTTCAATCTCTCGCTGTGCATTTCGCTTGTGTCCTTGAGCAA